TACATTTGTGGGTTTGTCTATGACCTCTCTCCTTTCTACATTGCCAGTCTCCAGTGTCATCATTAATTAGTCTTTAGGTCTCCCATCTGTCTGCTAGAAAGCATCTCAGGCTAAGCTGAGTTAATAAATCGGAGCAGGGCAAGCTGCCCAGCCACCGGAACGTGTGACTGTGCTGAGACAGTCGAAGAGCAGCACTCTCCTTTGATCGTGTGGACAAGTCTAATTCTAACAGACCACGTGGGAGTCCCAGCCTGTGGAGGTGCAGAGACTACTGTGAGCCCAGCAGTAGTGTTTGCTCTCATTTGTACCGGCTTCAGTTTCTAATTTCAAAACCATGAGGCTCAGAGTCTCAGAGGCCTGGGGGACTTGTTTACATTTGCTTCCTCTTTCCCCAGGAGTTTGCTCACATTCTTCAGTGTATTCTCACAATGGGGTGGTGGCAGTTTAGCAAAGCAATGAAAATCTCCCCAGGAGGTTTGTACTGTGGTGGATTTCTGTAAAGATCATATACAGCATCTATAGCACATGATCCCAAGTCATGACTGTCATGCCACTTGCTGTGACTTATTTCCTGACTAATTTTACTAAATCATAGAAGTAACAAACAGTATTTGTGAGCATGGTTGCTAGTGCTAGGCATTCTGCAAAGCAATTACATGCAGTATCTCATTTAATTCTGCTATCATACCTTTGAAAGAGTTCCAGTGGTGCAGTGGTTAAGTACTTGGCTGCTAACAAAGAGGTTGGTGGTTCAAACCCTCAGCCACCCCACAGGAGAAAGATGTAGCAATCTGTTTCCATAAAGATTACAGCCTTGGAACCCCTATGGCGCAGTTCTGCTTTGTCCTGCTTGGTCCCTATGAGTCGGAATCAACTCAACAACAATGCGTTTGGTTTGGGTTTTATCATGCCTTTGAGGGAGTCTCAACTTTGCAGATAAGAGAAATAGCCATAGCCCAAGGTCACCACTGCCCAATGAAGAGCAGAACCTGAGCCCAGGTGGGCCTTGTTCCAAGCACAAGCTCTTCACCAACCTACTTAAGGTCCCATGAAATCTGAAGAGGTTTGATGGGCACCCGCATGGGCTCTGTAACTACAGCCACAACAAAAGGAGAGCTGCAGTGATCAACTCTTTAATTTAGGCAAAATGGAAGCTTTGTTTTTGTAGTTGGGAAAATCTCTGCCTTCAGCTTCGCTTTGGCTATAGAGCAATTCTTTCATGGCTTCAGTTATAACCTATTACCCAGGTGTAGGCATGCCTTACCTTATATTGTTTCTGTTTATGAAAAATAGTTCTCTGTAAATGGAATTGTTGAAAGTTGAATATAGTAGAAGGTTAAATAATTTGAACCTAAACTGCCCCTTCATGATTTGCTCCGGTACCATGTGCATCTCTTAGCTATCATTTCCTCACTTTTCTTTTGCTTCTACAAAGAGTTCTTCACCTACTGAGCTGAGTAATTTCATGAGAGAAACAGAATCCCATGGGATGAAATAGTGAAATTATTAGTGAAGATGCACTGTATTTAAGAAAGACTTAATTTTTAATTGTATTACCAGTAGAAATTATATGTAATTTAACAGTTGAAAATAGACCAATTAATATATTTTTTTAAATCTGTTATGAACAACGGAGTTTAGGTGTGTAATAGATAAAGACCCAAAACTTGTGTCTGGAAAGAACAAATAGGACTACAGGGCTAATACCAAAATTTGGTAATATTGAATATAAGAAAAAGATGTAAAATAGTTCTTCATTTTGGCAAAAATTGTTAAATATGGAAAAGGGAGAAAATACAAATTTAAAAAGTTGATAAAATTATAAACCTTTAAAAATTATAAAATTATAAAAAAGTTATATAAGAAAAATATAGGCCTTTATCATCTGCAAAATTTTATTGAAAAACATAAAACAAGGGTTAGATAAATTGAGAGACATATGACATTGCTAGGAGTTCTGGTAGCGTAGTGTCTAAGGCACTTAACTACTAAACCAGAAGGCTGGTGGTTCAAACCCACCAGCCACTCATTGGAAGGAAATTTGGGCAATCTATTTCCGTGGTGATATTGCCTTGGAAACTCAAGGAGGGATCGCTATGAGTCGGGTCCAACTCGATGGCACATAACAACAACAACAGCATCACATTGCTGGATATAAATATTTACTATTTTTCAAATATCTGTTCTTTTCAAATCAAGTAATGCAGGAGAGATCTTTTTTTTTTCCTTAAATACCTCTAAATAATTAATTAATAATGGGCAGATATTAATATTGTAATTAAAAGAAAGTTTAAAACATTATCAACCAACGTTTTCTTCATTTTATTGTGATAAGAGTCATTTGTTACTACTGTAACTTTCTCTTTTCTCTGCTACTACTCTTTGAGAAGAGGACAAGTGGTAGGAAGGAGGTACTTCCCATATGACTACAGGTCCATCTACTGGGAAAAGAGATGAAGGGAGGTATGATAATAATAGAGAACTTAAATTATTGCAGAGAGGACAGACACATAAGCTTGCTAAAGAAAGCTAACAGTATGAAAAGAAGGGATGTTTTGAAATGATGATTTGGCTGGTTTTGAGTGATTTTTTAATTTGTTTCAGGGTGGGATTTATATTTCTTCAGTAAGGTGGTAGTGCTAATTGTTAGATGTTGTCAAGTCAAGAGTCAATTTCGACCCCTCATGACAGAGCAGAACTACCCCCTTGGGGCTTTCTTGGCTGTAATCTTTATGAAAGCGTATGGCCAGGTCTTCTTTCTGCAGAGCTGTAGGAAGCTGTAGTTTGGACTGTCCATCTTTTGATTAGCAGATGAGTGCTTAGTGATTGTGCCACCAGGGGTCCTTTTCACTAAGGTAGGTCATTAAAAAGAAAAAAAAGTCAATCTTTGCATCCCAGTAAACCAAAATCAAACCTGTTGCTGTCAAGTCAGTTCTGACTCATAGCAACCTTATAGGACAAGAGTAGAACTGCTACATAGGCTTTCCACTGCTGTAATCTTGATGGAAAGCAGATACCACATCTGTCTCTCGTGGAGCAGTTGATGGGTTTGAACCAACAACTTTCCCATTAGCAGTCGAGCTCTTTAACCACTATACCAGCAGGGCTCCTTTTTGCATCTTAAGGGACAATGGAATTGTTGTCAGGATAGCTAAGAACAGATACTCCAGAATACATTGTATTTAAAACCTTTAGAAAATAGCAATGCTAACAGACAGAACCTGAATTCACATGCTCTCATACTGAGGAGAGCCAGCATCCCAGTCTCCTAGGAATGCCTGTAGATACCTCTGAGAGTGTGGCTTATTCTGATCTCAATTCAGAAAATGGCAGAGGCCTCCCTCAAGTCATATTTTCATCTTCAGCACAGTCATACAGACTCCCAGAATTGTCTAGGATTTCAGCAATCTAGTTGGCAATTTTACAAGATAAAAGGGGCCAGTAAATAATTTCAGGGAAAACTTGAGTGGCCTCTTTTGAATTTTCTGTGCTCTGGGACTGATATATGTGTTGTTTTGCTTGTACTAAATGTTCCAAGATGATAGTTTTGAAAACACCTAATTATTGAATAAGAAGTCCTAAAGTAAATAAAGGTCTCCTTTTTCCAACCCTTTTCTTCCAAAATATCTTATCTCTATGCTTCTAAGCTCTGGTGGCATAGTGCCTAAGGCATTGGACTGCTAACCAGAAGGCAGGTGGTTCAAACCCACCAGCCCTCTTCGGAAGGAAGGTAGGACAATCTGCTTCCATAGTGATACTGCCTGGGAAGCCCAAGGAGGGGTCACTATGAGTCGGATCTGACTCGATGGGCTGCTCCTGTAGATTCCTCTAAAATCTCGGGTGAGTGTTTCTCCCTTTTTAAATCAAGTGGCATGATTTCTTTATGGTGAAACTCCAGTGCTTTAATATACACCCTTGGACAAGAACAAGTCAGCAATTTCTGAACATGGTCAACAAACAAAAGCTATAATGATTGTTGTAGCTTTGGGGAAATGAAACCTTTCTTTCCCCAGTTCTTTTAGCAACTGTCACAAGCATCTAAAACTTTAGGGAAATGCTTCTTGCCTGTGTTATCTGGTGTTTGTAATGCCCAACTATGGATTATTGTGGTTTGCTTGTAACCAAATCAAAACTGTCTAAATTTGAGGTGGCTTGATTATCAAAAAAACAATTCTATTATAAATCCAGATATATTGTCTGAAATAAAACACATATAAAATTATTTGAAGTGTATTGGTAAAATTGTAATGGGAAAAACAGGGGAATGAGAAGCATGAAGAGCAAATACAGTCCTCCCTAACCTGCCTCAAGGGTTTGTGGGTGATGCACACATTTAATGAGCTCAGCTGCTAACTGAAAGGGTGAAAGATCAAACCACCCAAATGTGCCTGGGAAGAAAGACTTGATGATCTATTTCCAGAAACTCAGCCATTGAAAATCCTGTGGAGCACAGTTCCACTCTGACACATGGGGTCACCATGAGTTGGAATGGACTTGATGACAACTGGTTAACTAATTAACCTCAGTTGTCATACTTTAAGTGAGGTTTTCACCCTGACTAGTTGCCAGTTTGGCTATTCCATGCCTGAGAATTTCTGCAAAAACAATTTCAAGCTACTTTTGGGACACGAATCTGAAAAAGGCTCTTAATTCCCTGAGACACTCCTGAAGCAGTTTTTCCTCTTTGGGAGACCACAAGCAGAATACTTACCTCTCTCAAGTTGGAGGTTCTTGGGCATCTTTTGAAAAGTTGAAGTGGTTCATTTCCCTGTTCCTGAAGAGAGATGTAGAGTTAACTAATTGTTTTTGCTTATTTGTCTTAGGGTTTACTTGTTCATTGTTGTTTCTGTTTTTGTGCTTTGTTTCTGGAATCTGAATGAACATTGATAAGGATTCTGCACAATTGATACCCAAGTGCTAAGCGCAATAACTGGCTCATAGTAGAAACTCAGCGAATGTGTGTTCTCAACTAAAGTCTAATTCTGAACTTCTCTTCGCAGCGAGTGAGAAGCAGATGATGGTGGTGTGCAAGGAGTCTCCAAAGGAGTATCTCCAGCCTTTCAAGGACAGATTAGAAGAGTTCTTCCAGAAAGGTAGGAATCTATGTCAGCTGCATACCCATGGTACTTTGCAATACATTTTATTGCATAAGTCTCTCTCTGTGGTTCACTGCCTCTTGCATCCAGGCTGACCTCTAGTAGTTGCAGTAGTTCCATTAATCCGCCTTCCCATAGCAGTTACTTAAGCAATGTGGATGGAATCGTCTAGTAACTGTTACATCCCCTTTCAATCCTTTTAATAGTTAAAATCTTCCAGTGTAGCTCCTGTTTTTGTACACTTTTGAAGGAAGGTTTTTTTCCTTTGTCTCTTCATGGAGCTGTTCACTCTGTACATGTTAAGTGACATATGATGTACATGCAAGGCTTATACAGCCATGCGTTGCAGATTTGTGGTCAGCCTGGACAGGTGGATAGTGATTACTTTCCTGGCTTTATGAGTTTAGCAACTTGGAATTTGCATTGCATTTTCCATTCCTTTTCAGAAAGGAAAATTGGAGCCAGCCAGGTGAATGTCACACATCTCATAACTTGGCATACTTCAGCCCTTTGTGGCTAGTAGATGGAAGTGATAGGTGTGAGCCCTAGAACATTATTTAGAAATCTGACCAGGTGATGTTCCTTCTTGCATGATTTTGGCGGAAGTAGGGAACATTTTGTTGATCACTATTAGTGAACTTGGAAGTTTAATACCTTTTGGATATTTCCTATTCTAATTTCTCAAATTCAGCTTAAGATGTAAAACAAAATTAAGTGTGGAGTGGTTGGAGAGAGCAGTCATCTTTGCCAGAATACTAGAGGAAATGCATGTAGGAACATTTGGGAGATACTAGCATACTGTTTCTACTGTTGAATAAGACCCATGATAGCATACCATCAACAAAAACTGTTAATCAGAGTGAATCTATAAAGTATATCCAAACCACCTTGGGAATTGGCAGAGAAATACTGTCCTTGAGTCAGAGAAACTCCATTCCAGCTGCTCCATTGATGGGGAAGTCAGTGCAGCCCCTGCATGATGAAGGGTTGTTAGTACTAAAGCCAAAGAAGTCAGAGTTCTTCTCTTTTGGCCACTGCTAGACCTCATATATGATGGAAGTCATGCTGTCAGGCAAAGGACTCTCTTGAAAGAAAGCAGTGATAACAACACTTATGTGCTATGTGACTGTAATTAGTAGATTTTATAAGTGACTCATCAAAGTAAACTTAACTAACTAAAAACTATCACTGCCATCAAGTCAGATCCGACTCATAGCGCCTCCTCCTTAGGTTTCCAAGGTGGTATCACTACAGAAGTAGATTGCCCAACCTTCCTTCTGAGGAGTGGCTGGTGGTTTTGAACCACCAGCCTTTTGGTTAGCAGTCAAATGCCCTAGGCACTACACCACCAGAGTTCCCTCAATGATTACATAAGAATATAAATACTAAGTTTTTTTCATTTCCAACATTTACTTGAGCAATTATTCTGCTAATTTCCTGAAAACAGCAGTGCTATTAGATATTTAAGAAATTAGTATGTGTTGGTGAAAAACATAAATAAAACCCAAAAAAACCAAACCTACTGCCCTGAAGTCAATTCTGACTCATACATAATACATATGTTAAATTTACTCTCCTGATGGCAGTAACCTACAAAAGGTAGCGTAGTGCCTAAGGCACTTGACTGCTAACCAGAAGACTGCCAGTTCAAATTCACCAGCCACTCCTTTGAAGGAAGGTTGGGCAATCTACTTCCGCAGTGATACTGCCTTGGGAAACCCAAGGAGAGGTCACTATGAGTCAGGTCCGACTCGATGGCACGTAACAACAACAACAACAACTTTTTTCCTAGGCTGTAGCTTGGAATATACTTCGATTTTTTAACAAGGTCCTCCACCAGCACATTAAAAACTCTTAATAAATTTCTAAGTTTTTCTTATCTCCAAATTGGTAGCTAAAACTCCATGTCCCACCATCCTTCTCTCTTAGCCCACAGATCCCTCAGGATACCTGTACTTCTCAGTGACTTTTGCTGTTAATGCTCTGAAATTTACATAACCATTGATTTAGTAACACAAATAAGCCAACCTAAAAACTTAATCTTTTAGCCCAGAAATCAAGGGGCATAGATCTCCACAGGCTAGTGTCCTTACTGTTGGCAACTTTATTGATCATGAAGTGCTGGCTAAAGGGTTAAACCAAAAACCCCAATGCCTTGGAGTTGATTCCAACTCATAGTTACCCTACAGGTCAAAATAAAACTGTCCCACAGGATTTCCAAGGCTGTAAATCTTTATGGAAGCAGACTGCCATATCTTTCTCTTGCAGAATAGTTGGTGGGTTCAAACTGTCAACCTTTTGGTTACCAGCCCAGCACTTAAGCACTGCACCACCAGGACTCCTATGGCTAAAGGACTAGACCTTCAGAATTTGTCCTCCAGTAGGAAGCAGAAAGCTGGATGTGGGTCTTCTAGGAATAACTGATAACCTGGAGAATGAGGGAAGTGCAACTAAAATGAGAAACTGCTAGAGTTTATCTAAATTTAAAGGAAGTATTTTCCATTTATTTGATCTTGAAAAGTCAGCAAAAGATAAGCTTTGCCCCAAAATACCCTAGAGATTTCAGTCAAACAGGTCCACAAGAATACTGTAAAGTAACAACTATCAAATCTGGAGAGTCTGAATTTCCAAAATTACTTTAATCAAGAAAACATCGGCTTCCAAATACAAAGAGTGTACTTATATTCCTTTGAACCTAATGGGGATTGCAGAAACCCCTTAATGACTAGGAGCACAAACACATTAAAGATTAATGGGAGTAATGTTGGTATTCCTGTTGTTGTTGTTGTTGTTGTGTGCCGTCGAGTCGGCCCCGACTCATAGCAACCCCTCCCTGGGTTTCCGAGGCAGTATCACTACAGAAGTAGGAATGCCCAACCTTCCTTCCGAGGAGTGGCTGGTGGGTTTGAACCGCCAGCCTTCTGGTTAGCAGTCAAGTGCCTTAGCCACTATG